TGAAGCACAATCCGAAGATGCTGCTCATGCTCCTCTCGACAGCTGGAGTAAATCAAGATATCATCAATGAATACAACCATAAAATAATCCAAATAGGGCTTGAATACCCGGTTCATCAAATCCATAAATGTTACTGGGCATTTGTCAGCCCAAATGACATCACTAGGAACTCCTAATGCCCATACCGAGTCCGAAAAGCTGTCTTAGGGACATCAGATGCCCTAATATTCAACTGATGGTAACCAGACCTCAAATCAATCTTTGAAAACACCTTGGCACGCTGAAGCTGATCGAATAAGTCATCAATTCTTGGCAATGGATACTTGTTATTGATAGTAGCCTTGTTCAACTGCCGATAATCTATACACATCCGCATTGAACCATCTTTCTTCATCACAAAGAGCACCGGTGCATCCCAGGACGAGACGCTAGGTCTAATGAATCCCTGGTCAAGAAAGTCTTGTAACTGCTCCTTTAATTCCTTTAGTTCCGGCGGGGCCATAAGGTATGGTGGAATAGAAATGGGCTAGGTGCCGGTAAGAAAAATGACTTCCGCATGTAAATAAAATAAAGCCACTTTTTGTATTTTAATTTAATGGATTGAAAAATATTTTCTACCAATCAAATACAAGAACTTTTTTTCTAGAAAAATAACTTCCATTATACTAAATGCATCCAAAGAGAATAACGTTTCATTCTAATTCTAACATATTAGTAGATTTGAAGGTTGTCTCAACTCGAGTACATGACCTATCAATAATGTTATTGAATTGGTTGTCATGTTTTATTTTTTAGATCCTCTCAAAGGCTACGATTATTTCTTTCCATTTTGTCAAGCTTTTCACTTGGTCCTACGAGGTGATTCAAGAAATAAAAAAAATAAACATGCAACAAAATTAAAGGGAATCTAATATATATATATATATAAAAAAAAAATTAATTTTATATATACCGTATTATTTTCGGCAAAAGGGATTCGACAACTCTCTTCATAGTTTTGCCCCTGGGTCCTACCATGGCTGCAACTTCCAAGTATTACACTCTACCTTATAGTAACTTTTTTCTTTAAATTAAAGAGCCTGAATTAAATTTACTGTTTTTAAACTCAAAAAAGAAAAAAGAAAAAAGAAAGTCCTTATGGAACATTATTAGTGCTAAAAAGATAAAAGTGAGACTGAATGATTTCCCAAGTGGGATTTGGACCACACTGGCTATAACAAATAGTTTCACTTTCAATGCAAATGAATTTAAAACAAAAATTACTCTTGGTCTAATTAAATTTTGTGGAGGAAAACTAGACAGCTGTTTCTTGTTATTTCATATTTCAAGATTTCTATTGGAAACATATGACAAATAAATGAAGTAATAATTTTTTGTCAGAGTTAAGGTTCAAGGGAAACAATTTTTTCTTAGAGTAGAATATGTTCTTTGAGGGGAAAAAATCTGTTTCAAATAGACCACTAGGGTTAATTTGTTGATCATCTAAGTTATCTATGTAACATGAAAGCTTAATTCATATCAATTCAGAAGCAAATTCAGGATCAAAATTAGCAGTTTATTATCTTATTATATAAATATAATAT